ACAAAAAAAACACACAAATTTTGCAAACTTGGTAGCTGATTAGATGTCCTTTGACCAGTCTCTGGCCACTTGGAGTGCTTCTGGTGTTGCCGCAAGGAGGTCCTCCCTTGTGCATCATGTGGAAGAAGGGCTCAGGGTGCATTGCAGCAGGTGGTCAGTGGTTTGCTCTTCTCCACACTCGCATGTTGTGGATTCCACTTTGTGGCCCCATTTCTTGAGGTTGGCTCTGCATCTCGTGGTGCCAGAGCGCAGTCTATTCAGCGCCCTCCAAGTCGCCCCGTCTTCTGTGTGCCCAGGGGGGAGTCTCTCATTTGGTAACAGCCATGGTTTAAGGTACTGTCACTTTTGGACTCTCGCTTGCTGAGGTGTTCCAGCGAGTGCCTCTGTAGATCTAAGAAAACGATTTCTTGATTTAAGTCGTTGACGTGCTGGCTGATACCCACACAGGGGGTGAGCTGGAGATGTCTCTGCCTTGGTCCTTTCACTATTGGCTGCTACTTCCCAGCGGATGTCAGGTGGTGCGATAGCAGCTAAGCAGTGTCATTCCTCCAGTGGCGTAGGGCGCAGGCACCCCTTTGTGATAATGCGGCATGTCTCATTAAGAGCCACATCCACTGTTTTAGTGTGGTGAGATGTGTTCCACACTGGGCATGCGTACTCAGCAGCAGAGTAGCATAGCGCAAGGGCAGATGCCTTCATTGTATCTGGTTGTGATCCCCAGGTTGTGCCAGTCAGCTTTCGTATGATATTGTTTCTAGCGCCCACTTTTTGTTTGATGTTCAGGCAGTGCTTCTTGTAGGTCAGAGAACGGTCCAGAGTGACTCCTCCCAGGTACTTGGGTGCGCTGCAATGCTCCAGTGGGGTTCCTTCCCAGGTAATAATCCTCAGAGCTCGGGATGCTTGTCTGTTCTTGAGATAAAAGGCGCATATTGAGTATTGGTGCCAAGTTATGTATAGATCCATCATGCATCCACAGTGTCCTCTGGATGGAGGTGAACTCCCAAACTCAAGGTCAATGCCCACCAAATCTTTCCAGTATTTTCTGTTGGTCATGGGAGTTCTGTGTGGGAAGTTTGCCCCAATTCTATCGTTGGTGGTGTTCAGAACGTTCTTTGATTGTAGGTGAACTATAAATCCCAGCAACTACAATGCTAAGGTCCATTTTCCTCCAAATCCACCAGTATTCTAATTGGATAGTTGTCGGGATTTATTGTAGTGTTTGTTGCTGGAGAGGGTGAATGGAGTACAGGAAGCCGTGCTAATGTCTGCCACGGATGCCAGGCGCATGGCGTCATCCCTCTTCTCTGCCTGAGTGGGCACGAGAGGATAAAGGGGCGCATAAAAGGCGCACTGGCGCAGCACATTCCCGGGACTCACAGGCAGAGGGAAGGGAAGGAGCCCCCAGGGAGGAGGCCGCAAATTCCTCCCGGCCCAGAAAGGCGGCTTAGGAAGGAGAAGAAGGGCCAGGCGGAGGTCAGGGAGGGACCGGTCAAGCGCTTGACCACAAGGGCCACCCAGTCCAACCCCCTTCTGCCTTCATGCAGGAAAAGCACTATCCAAGTATGGTCATCCAGCCTCTGTTTCAAAGCCTCCAAAGAAGGAGCTTGCACCACACTCCGAGGCAGAGAGTTCCACTGTTGAACAGCTCTTCTTAGAGTCAGAAAGTTCTTCCCCATGTTCAGGGTGGAATCTCTTTTGCTGTCATTTGAACCCAGTCTCCAGGGCAGCAGAAAGGAAGCTGTCTCCCTTTTCCTTGCGACACCCTCTCACATATTTAAGACGGTACCAAGGCACAGCTGGTAAATCACCAACCTAAAGGTTGCCAGTTCAAAGCCCCGAGTCGGCATGAGCTCCCGACTGTCAGCCCAGCTTACTGTTGACCCAAGCAGTTTGAAGACTGCTGAGCTGTAAGTAGTTCAGTTGGAATCTCCTTCGCTGTCATTTGAACCCATGTCTCCATTGAATCCCAGTCTCCAGCAGAAAGGAAGCCGTCTCCCTCTTCCTTCTAACACCCTACGCAGTACCAAGGCCAGGCTTTAGCACAGCTGGTAAATCACCAGCAATGATAAGATCTACCTACCAAAAGGTTGCCAGTTCAAAGCCCCGAGTCAGCATGAGCTCCCGACTGTCAGCCCAGCTTACTGTTGACCCAAGCAGTTCGAAAACAGCTTGAGCTATAAGTAGAGAAATTAGGTAGAGGTTTTCCCCTGACATTAAGTGCAGTTGTGTCCGACTCTGAGGGGAGGTGCTCATCTCCATTTCAAAGCCGAAGAGCCGGCGTTGACCATAGATGCCTCCAAGGTCATGTGCCCACTGGCAGGACTGCATGCAGCACCCTTACCTAAACACCGGAGCGGTACCTGTTGATCGACTTACATTTGCATGTTTTCGAACTGTTAGGTGGGCAGAAGTTGGGGCTAACAGCAGGAGCTCACCCCACTCCCCGGATTCGAACTGCCAACCTTTCAGTCAGCAAGTTCAGTAGCTCTACGGTTTAGGTACCGCTAAAAACAAGTGAGGGGGGTATTCTACAACACCATAAAGAAAAAGATCAGAAAATACCCCGCAATCGAAAGGAAGGAGGAAGTCCTGATGTCTCTTCGTCATAGAGGATGGAGCGACAGCACCCCCCTGTGGCTGCATCCGAGCACAGCCTCCAAAGGGCCAAAAAGCTGGACGATACGGACACAACATACCTCCTTTCTGTTCTGTCTGTCTTTGTTCTGTCTATTCAAAATGACATTGAATGTTTGCCATGTGTAGTGTACCGTGATCCGCCCTGAGTCCTTTGGGGAGATATAAATAAGCTGTTATGACTATTATTACTTTTCATCTATTTGCATTGCATGCTTTTGAATTGCTAGGTAGGCAGAAGCTAGGGTGGACAGCTCACCCTGACTCATGGCTTCGAACTGCTAATCCTCCGGTCAGCAGATTTCCTGCAGCGAGTGGTTTAACCAGCTAGCTGGCCCATGCACGACCTTGTAGACATGTGAGACGATAGCAACTAGGGAATGGATGCCATCATGTTTGAGAAATGTAAACAGAATACATTAGTGCTGAGCACACTACGTTCTTCTCGTACTGTATATAGAGCAGTGTTTCTCAACCTGGGGGTCGGGACCCCTGGGGGGGTAACGAGGGGGTGTCAGGGGGGTCACCAAAGACCATCGGAAAACACAGTATTTTTTGTCGGTCATGGGAGTTCTGTGTGGGAAGTTTGGCCCAATTCTATCGTTGGTGGGGCTCAGAATGTTCTTTGATTGTAGATGAACTATAAATCCCAGAAATGACACTCCCCAAATGTTATTTTCCCCAGTGTCCACATTTTCCCCACTCCATCAGTGTCCACATTTGGGCATATTGAGTATTCGTGCCAAGTTTGGTCCAGATCCATCCTAGCTTGAGTCTCTGGATGGAGGTGAACTACAACTCCCAAACTCAAGGTCAATGCCCACCAAACCCTTCCAGTATTTTCTGTTGGTCATGGGAGTTCTGTGTGCCAAGACTGGTTCAATTCCATCATTGATGGAGTTCAGAATACTCTTTGATTGTAGGTGAACTAAAAATCCCAGAAATGACACTCTTCAAATGTTATTTTCCCCAGTGTCCACACTTCCCCCACTCCACCAGTGTCCACATTTGGGCTTATTGAGTATTCGTGCCAAGTTTGGTCCAGACCCATCCTAGCTTGAGTCTCTGGATGTAGGTGAACTATAACTCCAAAACTCAAGGTCAATGTCCACCAAACCCTTCCAGTATTTTCTGTTGGTCATGGGAGTTCTGTGTACCAAGTTTGGTTCAATTCCATTTTTGGTGGGGTTCAGAACGCTCTTTGATTTTAGGTGAACTATAAATCCCTGCAACTACAACTCCCAAAAGTCAAGGTTTATTTCCCCAAACTCCACAAGTATCCATATTTGGATATATTGAGTATTCGTGCCGAGTTTGGTCCAGACCCATCATGGTTTGAGTCCACAGTGCTCTCTGGATGTAGGTGAACTACAACTCCAAAACTCAAGGTCAATGCCCACCAAACCCTTCCAGTATTTTCTGTTGGTCAGGGGAGTTCTGTGTGCCAAGACTGGTTAAATTCCATCATTGCTGGAGTTCAAAATACTCTTTGATTGTAGGTGAACTATAAAGCCCAGAAATGACACTCCCCAAATGTTAGCTTGAGTCTCTGGATGTAGGTGAACTACAACTCCCAAACTCAAGATCAATGCCCACCAAACCCTTCCAGTATTTTCTGTTGGTCAGGGGAGTTCTGTGTGCCAAGACTGGTTCAATTCCATCATTGCTGGAGTTCAGAATACTCTTTGATTGTAGGTGAACTATAAAGCCCAGAAATGACACTCCCCAAATGTTAGCTTGAGTCTCTGGATGTAGGTGAACTACAACTCCCAAACTCAAGGTCAATGCCCACCAAACCCTTCCAGTATTTTCTGTTGGTCAGGGGAGTTCTGTGTGCCAAGACTGGTTCAATTCCATCATTGGTGGAGTTCAGAATACACTTTGATTATAGGTGAACTATACATTCCAGCAACTACAACTCCCTAATGACAAAATCACTGCCCCCCAACCCCACCAGTATTCAAATTTGGGCATATCGGGTATTTGTGTCAAATGTGGTCCAGTGAATGAAAATACACCCTGCATATCAGACATTTACATTACGATTCATAACAGGAGCAAAATTACAGTTATGAAGTAGCAACGAAAATAATTTTATGGTTGGGGGTCAACACAACATGGGGAAGTATATTAAGGGGTCACGGCATTGGGAAGGTTGAGCAACACTGATATAGAGCGTAGAGAATTCAGGCCAATATAAAACAACAACAACAACATCAAAGATTATAGTCCATAGACTCCTCAGTGAACCAAGAGAATTCCTTGCTCCCAAAGACTATGTCTCTGTGAAGGGAATGAAGTAGAAACAATAGAACACATTGCTTGTAGTCAATCCAGACTTAAGCCGACTGCTCTTCTCTCTGCAGGGCCGGCCTCTTCCGAACTGGTCTCTTCTTGTTCCTCGTCTCCATGTACGAACGGAGGGACCTGCCATGACCTGGAGAGCGGCTACAGGTGTGCCTGTCCCCAGAGCCCCTTGGCATACGTGGGGAAAGACTGCGAGTTCCTCTACGACGCCTGCGCAGGACACTCCTGCCCGCCCGAGTGGAGCTGCTCCGGGTCGCCCGGCTACTTGAACTACTCTTGCCACTGCCGGCCGGACTCGCTCGGAACCGACTGCAGCATCCAAGGCGACGAGTGCGAGCGCAGCCCTTGCCCGGAGCCTCACCTGGATTGTGTGCCGCTGCCCAACGGCTACGGCTGCCAATGCGCGAGTGGGGAGAGCTGCCAAAGCGGGACGCCGGCTTGCTCCAGCCAGCCCTGCCAGAACAACGGGAGCTGCTCCGAGCACGCGGGGGGCTACGCGTGCGAGTGCCAGCCCGGCTACGGCGGGCCCCAGTGCGAGGAGGACCTGGACGAATGTGCCTCGGCCCCGTGCCAGAACGGGGCCATCTGCCTCGACAGGGTGGACGAGTACAGCTGCTTCTGCGTGCCCGGCTTCCAAGGCTACCACTGCGAGATCGACATCAACGAATGTGCCTCCCGGCCTTGCCAACACAACAGCACCTGCCTCAACCTGATGGACCACTACCTTTGCCAGTGCCTGCCCGGCTACACAGGTACCCTTTCCCCTTGCCATTGCTCAGGACCCAGGAAGGCAGTCATGCTCAATCTGGGGGGAGGTCGTGAGTGAGTGAATTTCAGATGGGTCGCCAAAGACCACCAGAAAACATCTATTTCTGGTGGTCTTAGGAACCCCACCTGTCCCTCTCTTTCTTTTTGGAGACAGGTGGGGAATCCTCCCACCAAAAGCCCTCCTCCACTATGATTGGTCAGCCTCTCAGCCAAAGGGAGGGCTGTTTCTGGGATTCCAAGCAGGGAGGGGAGAGCAGCCGTGCTTGGCGCATGGCAGCATGGTGCGCATGTGCAGGGAGGGTATACGAGGCTGGAGAGAGGTTTGCACCAGCAAGTCCCTTGAGGGCGGTTTCTGAGAGTCCAAGCGGGAAGGAGAGAGCAGGCGTGTTTGGCACATGGCAGCATGGTGCGCATATGCATGCAAGGGAGAACGTGCAAGTCTGGAGGGAGGCTCGCGCCAGCAAGTCCCATTACAGTAGTTTCTGAGACTCCAAGCAGGGAGGAGAGAGAAGGCGTGCTTGGCGCATGGCAGCTCGCATAGCAAGTCAATTCAGGACGGTTTCTCAGACTCCAAGCAGGGAGGTGAGAGCAGGTGTGCTTGGAGCATGGCAACATGGTGCACATGTGCGGGCGAGGGAGAGTGTGCAAGGCTGGAGGGAGGCTCGCATAGCAAGTCCATTCAGGGCAGTTTCTGAGACTCCAAGCAGGGAAGGGAGAGCAGGTGTGCTTGGAGCATGGCAGCATAGTGCGCATGTGCGGGCGAGGGAGAGCATGCCAGGCTGGAGGGAAGCTCACACCAGCAAGTCCATTCAGGGCAGTTTCTGAGATTCCAAGCAGGGAAGGGAGATGGGGTGTGCTTGGCACATGGCAGCATGGTGCACATGTGCGGGCAAGGGAGAGTGTGCAAGGCTGGAGGGAGGCTTCTGCCAGCAAGTCCATTCAGGGCAGTTTCTGAGATTCCAAGCAGGAAGCAGGCGTGATTGGTGCATGGCAGCATGGTGTGCATGTGTGGGCGAGGGAGAGCATGCAAGGCTGGAGGGAGGCTCGCATAGCAAGTCCATTCAGGGCAGTTTCTGAGACTCCAAGCAGGGAAGGGAGAGCAGGTGTGCTTGGAGCATGGCAGCATAGTGCGCATGTGCGGGCGAGGGAGAGCATGCCAGGCTGGAGGGAAGCTCACACCAGCAAGTCCATTCAGGGCAGTTTCTGAGATTCCAAGCGGGGAGGGGAGAGCAGGAGTGCTTGGCGCATGGCAGCATGGTGTACATGTGCAGGAGAGGGAGAGCGTGCAAGGCTGGAGGGAAGCTCACACCAGCAAGTCCATTCACGGCAGTTTCTGAGACTCCAAGCAGGGAAGGGAGATGAGGTGTGCTTGGCACATGGCAGTGTAGTGTGCATGTGCAGGCAAGGGAGAGCGTGCAAGGCTGGAGGGAGGCTTCTGCCAGCAAGTCCATTCAGTGCAGTTTCTGAGACTCCAAGTGGAGAGGAGAAAGCAGGTGTGCTTGGTGCACGACAGCATTGTGCGCATGTGCGGGAGAGGGAGAGCATGCAAGGCTGGAGGGAAGCTCGCATAGCAAGTCCATTCAGGGCAGTTTCTGAGACTCCAAGTGGGGAGGAGAGAGCAGGCAAGCTTGGTGCATGGCAGCATGGTGCGCATGTGCGGATGAGGGAGAGCATGCGAGGCTAGAGGGAGGTTTGCACCAGCAAGTCCCTTCAGGGCAGTTTCTGAGACTCCAAGTGGAGAAGGGAGAGCAGGAGTGCTTGGCACATGGCAGCATGATGCGCATATGCAGGGAGACTGGAGGGAGGTTCAGGGCAGTTTATGAGACTCCAAGCGGGAGAGGGAGAGCATGCAAGGCTGGAGGGAGACCCACACCAGCAAGTCCCTTCACGGCATGAGGGTTCTGTGTGGGAAGTTTGGCCCAACTCTATCTTTGGTGGCATTCAGGATGCTCTTTGATTGTAGGTGAACTATAAATCCCAGCAACTACATCTCCCAAATGTCCTATCAAACTCCACCAGTATTCACATTTTAGTATTCGAGCCAAGTTTGGTCCTGATCTATTATTGTTTGAGTCCCCAGTGCTCTCTGGATGTAGGTGAACTACAACTCCCAAACTCAAGGTCACTGCCCACCAAACCCTTCTAGTGTTTTCTGTTGGTCATGGGAGTCCTGTGTGCCAAATTTGGTTCAATTCCATCGTTGGTGGGGTTCAGAATGCTCTTTGATTGTAGGTGAACTATAAATCCCAGCAACTACAACTCCCAACTCAAGGTCAATGCCCACCAAACCCTTCCAGTATTTTCTGTTGGTCATGGGAGTTGTGTGTGCCAAGTTTGGTTCAATTCCATCGTTGGTGGAGTTCAGAATGCTCTTTGATTGCAGGTGAACTATTAATCCCAGCAACTACAACTCCCAAACTCAAGGTCAATGCCCACCAAACCCTTCCAGTATTTTCTGTTGGTCATGGGAGTTGTGTGTGCCAAGTTTGGTTCAATTCCATCGTTGGTGGGATTCAGAATGCTCTTTGATTGCAGGTGAACTATTAATCCCAGCAACTACAACTCCCATACTCAAGGTCAATGCCCACCAAACCCTTCCAGTATTTTATGTTGGTCATGGGAGTTGTGTGTGCCAAGTTTGGTTCAATTCCATCAATGGTGGGGTTCAGAATGCTCTTTGATTGCAGGCGAACTATTAATCCCAGCAACTACAACTCCCATACTCAAGGTCAATGCCCACCAAACCCTTTCAGTATTTTCTGTTGGTCAGGGGAGTTGTGTGTACCAGGTTTGGTTCAATTCCATTATTGGTGGAGTTTAGAATGCTCTTTGATGGTAGTGAACTACAAATCCCAGCAACTACAACTCCCAAATGACAAAACCAGGCCTGATATAGACGCTTGAATCATGTCAATGACTTTTCCAATGCTGGTGGAGCCTAGTGATTTCTCTGCAGTCTTTGTGCCTACTCTCCACTCTTTGCCAGCTCTCTGTTGATGCTGCAACCTTGAGGGTCTTCCCTTGGCAACGGGCCGTGGGCTGGAATTTGGCCTCCCCCACCTGGTACCGGTCAGCACCAAAGGCTCTCCCTGGCCTTGCGCATCCTTGCGCGAGGGAGGGAGGGAGGGAGGGCCATGTGCAGGAGTGACGTTCCTGCAAAGGAATGTCAGGGTGATGGGCTTGAAGATTACCCGTGGGGAGGCGGCGAGGGGCCGCTGCATCAGGTGCCCCTTTGGTGGGCTCTTAGTCACCGGCCGGGTTGCGAATTGCGTGGGAGGCCAGGCTGGGAATTCCTGAGAGGGGGGGAGTTCTGGGAAAGGAGAGGGTGGTGGAGATGATGATGATGATGATGCTGATGATGAATCAGGGCTTGGCTCCATCTCTCTCCCCCAGATTCCAGGTCTCGCTTTGAGATTCTGCAAGGTTGCCAAGGTGTGGGATGAGCGCATGAAGCACAATGGGGCATGTTATCAATGTGTGTGAATTGGGGCATGGCCCGTAAGTCACGCCTCCTCACAAAGGAACAAAGAGACACCCCCAAGGACATGGCAGTGCCCCCTCCAAGGTTTCCCACTGTGTTATGGTTGCTAATGTTAATTGGGGGATCATAAAACCGACAGGAAAGGAAGAGAGGCAACACAGAAACATGGAGACAAGAGGACCATTTCAACGTGCACGCAAGGTTGCTAGTTTTCCAACACCTTTTGGGAAAACCAGGAATCTCCCCGAGAAGAGCTAAATACTTGCTTGCAGGTTGTCTATTTACCTTAGTGGTAAATACATCCACTAGTAATCGTGCCAGGCAATTAGGTTTCGCGGTTGTTAGACTGATATCCCTAGAGAAAACTTGCTTGAAGGATGACTATTTACCTTAGTGGTAAATACATCCTCTAGTAATCGTGCCAGGCAATTAGGTTTCTCAGTTGTTAGGCTGATATCCCTAGAAAAAACTTGCTTGAAAGTTGACTATTTACCTTAGTGGTAAATTCGTCCACTAGTAATCATGCCAGGCAAATAGGTTTCTCACTTGTTAGACTGATATCCCTAGAGAAAACTTGCTTGAAGGTTGACTATTTACCTTAGTGGTAAATACGTCCACTAGCAATCGTGCCAGGCAATTCAGTTTCTTGGTTGTGAGACTGATATCTCTAGATATCTCTTTGAACTACTAGAGAAAACTTGCTTGAAGGTTGACTACTTACCTTAGTGGTAAATACGTCCACTAGTAATCGTGCAAGGCAATTAGGTTTCTCAGTTGTGAGACTGATATCCCTAGATATCTCTTTGAACTACTCGAGAAAACTTGCCTGAAGGTTGACTATATACCTTAGTGGTAAATACGTCCACTAGTAATCGTGCAAGGCAAATAGGTTTCTCGGTTGTTAGACTGATATCCCTAGAGATCTCTTTGAACAACTAGAGAAAACTTGCTTGAAGGTTGACTATTTACCTTAGTGGTAAATATGCCCACTAGTATTCATGCAAGGCAATTAGGTTTCTCGGTTGTTAGACTGATATCCCTAGAGATCTCTTTGAACAACTAGAGATAACTTGCTTGAAGGTTGACTATTTACCTTAGTGGTAAATATGCCCACTAGTATTCATGCAAGGCAATTAGGTTTCTCAGTTGTTAGACTGATAACCCTAGAGATCCAAGCCGAGGCAACCTTTTTGGGATGCTCCATGTATGGGATTTCCTATATGATGCAGGTGGTTAGACTAGATGGCATCCCAGCATCCCTCCACCTGGGGATGTGGGGAGAGAGAGAGAAGGGGCTTGATTGGAAGCCTGTCTGGAAGTCATTGTGACCTTTTATGTCTCTCTGAGAATCCCCCATTCCTTCTGAGCCCAGTGTGCCTTTGGGGCTGCCTCGTGCATCCTCCAGTGGTGCCGAGTCCGTGGCCAGTGGGGCAGGGTCTGGGCCTTCTGTGGAAGGATGGGATGCAATGAACTTTGCTGAACGCATGACAGCCCTTGATCCACCCGATTAGGGGACCTGCATTCCTCTTGGATTAGCGTAGCCATGGCTGCTGGAAAGCACCACGCTGCCAGGAAAAGGGATTAGGTGGAGTGGCAGGTGCCACTCCTGGACCACGGGCACCAAAGAGGCTGGAAAGGTCCCTTCTTGGGTGCACCTGGCCCCATCTTTTTGGGACATTGTTTGGAGACCTGGGGGAACACTCAGCCTTGCAGTAGATAACTGGGCAACACTTTGGGAAAGGACGGGGAATCTTTCCTCGGAGACGTCTGTGGGGCGAAAGCATCCTTGCAGAGATGCAGGCAGAGTCATGGTCACAAAACCCTTTGCCACTCTTCACCAGCCTCTTTCTGCCCCACAACACAGGTATGAATTGTGACGTGGAGATCGACGAATGTGAATCTGCACCTTGCTGGCACGGTGGCACCTGCAGCGACCACGTTGGGTTTTTCACCTGTTCCTGCCTGCCGGGGTACGAGGGCGAGCAGTGCGAAGTGGATATCGATGAGTGCCAGAGCCAGCCCTGCCTCCACGGAGGCGCGTGCCACGACCTTGTAGACGGGTGAGACGACAGCGACTAGGGGAAGGGTGCCATCATGGTTGAGAAGTGGAAATAATAACAACAACAACAACAACAACAACAACAACACTTTATTTGTAGCCCGCTACCATCTCCCCAAGGGACTCGGTGCGGCTTACATGAGGCCGAGCCCAAACACAACAACACGAGCAATAATCACAACAATACAAGCAATTAAAAACATAGACAATAAAATACACAACATTATCAATAAGACAACACACAATTAAAAACAGTGGGAAGGCCAAATGTAGAGTTAAAATTGGAAATAATGCTGGGACATGGACGAAAGGGGATATAGAATCCTAGAATCCAAGAGTTGGAAGAGACCTCCTGGGCCATAATCCAGTCCAACCCCATTCTGCCAAGAAGCAGGAATATTGCATTCAAATCACCCCTGACAGATGGCCATCCAGCCTCTGTTTAAAAGCTTCCAAAGAAGGAGCCTCCACCACACTCCGGGGCAGAGAGTTCCACTGCTGAACGGCTCTCACAGTCAGGAAGTTCTTCCTCATGTTCAGATGGAATCTCCTCTCTTGTAGTTTGAAGCCATACTCCATTGCGTCCTAGTCTCCAGGGAAGCAGAAAACAAGCTTGCTCCCTCCTCCTCCCTGTGGCTTCCTCTCACATATTTATACATGGCTCATCATATCTCCTCTCAGCCTTCTCTTCTTCAGGCTAAACATGCCCAGCTCCTTAAGCCGCTCCTCCTAGGGATTGTTCTCCAACCCCTTGATAATTTTAGTCGCCCTCCTCTGGACACATTCCAGCTTGTTGATAGCTCTTTTGAATTGTGGTGCCCAGAATTGGATACAATGTGATTCCAGGTGTGGTCTAACCAAAGCGGAATAGAGCATGGGAAACATGACTTCCCTAGATCTAGACACTATGCTCCTATTGATGCAGGCCACAGTCCCATTGGCTTTTTTTGCTGCCACATCACATTCCTGGCTCATGTTTAACTTGATGTCCACAAGGACCCCAAGATCTTTTTCAAACGTACTGCTCTCGAGCCATGCGTGAGCAAAGAGAATCCCTTACCCCAAAGACTACGTCCCTGTGAAGGAAATGAAGTAGAAACAATAGAACACATTTTTTTGCAGAGCTGCTATCACACCATGCAACGTAGCCAACTTTTATATCCAGTTTTGTCCCACATGTCCCACAGTTGTGTCCCACATGAAGAGCCATTCCCCGCAGAGGATTGTGAGATACCTTTGAGAGGACAAGTGTCACAGGGTGACTCTCATAGTGGCAAATTCCTCACAGTGGCAACAAGACTGAGAATGAAACTAACCTCCAATGCCACATGACTGTACCCCTGAGACTCTATAGGGCAGTGTTTCTCAACCTGGGGGTCGGGACCCTTGGGGGGGGGGGTCGTGAGGGGGTGTCAGAGGGGTCGCCAAAGAGAATGAGAAAAAACAATATTTTCTGTTGGTCGTGGGGGTTCCGTGTGGGAAGTTTGGCCCAATTCTATCATTGGTGGAGTTCAGAATGTTCTTTGATTATAGGTGAACTATAAATCCCAGCCCCTACAACTTCCATATGTCAAGGTCTATCTTCCCCAAACCGCACCAGTGTCCACATTTGGGCATATTGCGTATTCATGCCAAGCTTGGTCCAGATGTATCAGTGCTCTCTGGATGTAGGTGAACTACAACTCCAAAACCCAAGGTCAATGTCCACCAAACCCTTCTAGTATTTTCTGTTGGTCATGGGACCTCTGTGTCCAAAGTTTGGTTCAATTCCATCCTTGGTGGAGTTCAGAATGCTCTTTGATTATAGGTGAACTATAAATCCCAGCCACTACAACTCCCAAATGTCAAGGTTTATCTTTCCCAAACCGCACCAGTGTCCACATTTGGGCATATTGAGTATTCATGCCAAGTTTGATCCAGATGTATCAGTGCTCTCTGGATGTAGGTGAACTACAACTCCAAAACCCAAGGTCAATGTCCACCAAACCCTTCTAGTATTTTCTGTTGGTCATGGGAGCTCTGTGTCCAAAGTTTGGTTCAATTCCATCCTTGGTGGAATTCAGAATGCTCTTTGATATTGTAAGTGAACCATAAATCCCAGCAACTACAACTCCCAAATGACAAAATCAATCCCACGAGTATCCAAATTGGGGCGTATTGAGCATTTGTGCCAAATGAATGAAAATATATCCTGCATATTGGATATTTACAAGATGATTCCTAACAGGAGCAAAATTACAGTTGCGAAGTAGCAATGAAAATAATGTTATGGTTGGGGGTCACCACCACATAAGGAACTGTATGAAGGGGTCATGGCATTAGGAAGGTGGAGAACCACTGTTCTATGGAGAAGATGTGGACCAGCAGGAGCAGGTGGCTCCGCAAGAAAAGGGACCTTGACGTTGTTGTTCTCTCTCTCCAGCTACGAGTGCGACTGCCTCAACACGGGCTTCGAAGGGCCGAGCTGTGAGCTGGACGTCTTGGAGTGTGCCTCCCAGCCTTGCCAGAACGGGGCTTCCTGCCTAGAAGGTGTGGGGCGCTACAGCTGCGCTTGCTGGCCAGGTGAGCAAAGGCCTCCAGGTGTTACTCTGGAGTCCAGAACCATTTCTCTGTCATTTCCAACATGACCCTGATAAAGGTAAAGGTTTCCCCTTGACATGACGTCTAAGCGTGCCCGACTTCGGTGGGTGGTGCTCATCTCCATTTCTAATCCAAAGAGCTGGTGTTGTCCGTAGACACCTAGGTCCTGTGGCCCACATGACTGCATGGAGCGCTGTTTCCTTCTGGCCAAAGCGGTACCTATTGATCTACTCACATTTGCATGCTTTGGAACTGCTAGGTTGGCAGAAGCTGGGGCTAACGACAGAAGTTCACCCCATCCTGCAGATTCAAACCATCAATCTTCTAGTGCAGCTTAGCAGTTTTAACCATTGCACCACCATGGCACCCAACAGCCCTGATGCTGCAATAACAACAGTAACAACAACAACAACCACAACAACACTTTATTTTGTATTCTGCCCTTCTCCCAGAGGGGACTCAGAGTAGATTTGTTGTTGTTCATTCGTTCAGTCGTCTCCGACTCTTTGTGACCTCATGGACCAGCCCACGCCAGAGCTCCCTGTCGGCCGTCACCACCCCCAGCTCCTTCAAGGTCAGTCCAGTCACTTCAAGGATGCCATCCATCCATCTTGCCCTTGGTCGGCCCCTCTTCCTTTTGCCTTCCACTTTCCCCAGCATCATTCCCTTCTCTAGGCTTTGCTGTCTCCTCATGATGTGGCCAAAGGACTTCCACTTTGTCTCTAGTCTCCTTCCCTCCAGTGAGCAGTCGGGCTTTATTTCCTGGAGGATGGACTGGTTGGATCTTCTCGCAGTCCAAGGCACTCTCAGAACTTTCCTCCAGCACCACAGTTCAAAAGCATCTCTTCCTTCGCTCAGTCTTCCCTAAGGTCCAGCTCTCACATCCGTAGGTTACTACAGGGAATACCATGGCTTTGACTAGGCAGATCTTTGTTGCCAGTCTGATGTCTCTACTCTTTACTATTTTATCGAGACTGGACATTGCTCTCCTCCCAAGAAGGAAGGGTCTTCTGATTTCCTGGCCACAGTCTGCATCTGCAGTAATCTTTGCACCTAGAAATACAAAGTCTGTCACGGCCTCCACGGTTTCTCCCTCTATTTTCCAGTTGTCAATCATTCTTGTTGCCATAATCTTGGTTTTTTTATGTTTAGCTGCAACCCGGCTTTTGCGCTTTCTTCTTTCACCTTGATTAGAAGGCTCCTCAGCTCCTCCTCACTTTTGGCCATCAGAGTGGTGTCATCTGCATATCTGAGGTTGTTAATGTTTCTTCCAGCAATTTTCACCCCAGCTTTGCATTCATCAAGCCCCGCACATCCTCGCATGATGTGTTCTGTATACAAGTTAAAGAGGTTGGGTGAGAGGATGCAGCCTTGCCGGACGCCTTTCCCAATCTTGAACCCGTCTCCTGTTCCGTGGTCAGTTCTGACTGTTGCTACTTGGTCCTTGTACAGATTCCTCAGGAGAGAGGGAAGGTGGCTTGGGATGCCCATCCCACCAAGAACTTGCCACCATTTATGATGATCCACACAGTCCAAGGCTTTAGAATAGTCAATGAAGCAGAAGTAGATGTTTTTCTGAAACTCCCTGCCTTTCTCCATTATCCAGCGGATATTGGCAATCTGGTCTCTGGTTCCTCTGCCTTTTCTAAACCCAGCTTGAACATCTGGCAACTCTCGCTCCATGTATTGCTGGAGTCTTCCTTGCAGGATCTTGAGCATTACCTTACTGGCATGAGAAATAAGGGCCACTGTACGGAAGTTGGAGCAGTCTTTCGCATTTCCCTTTTTTGGTATGGGGATAGAAGTTGATTTTTTCCAGTCTGATGGCCATTCTTGTGTTTTCCATATTTGCTGGCAAATGGCATGCATCACCTTGACAGCATCATCTTTTAAGATTTTAAACAGTTCAGCTGGGATCCCGTCGTCTCCTGCTGCCTTGTTGTTAGCAATGCTTCTTAAGGCCCATTCATCCTCACTCATTCTTCGATGTTCCTCTTGTCCGCAGTAGTAGATCTGGTGGTCATCTGATGTGAAGTGGCCCATTCCAGTCCATTTCAGTTCGCTGACCCCCAGAATGTCTATCTTTAGTCTTGACATCTCGCCAATAACAACATCCAATTTGCCCTGGCTCATAGATCTTACATTCCAGGTTCCTATGGTGTGTTGATCTTTAGAGCATCGGATTCGTCGTTCACCTCCAGTACCGTCGGCCGCTAGCCTTCCTTTCGGCTTTGAGCTAGCTGCGTCATCACATCTGGGGCTAGTTGAACTTATCCTCTGCTCCTCCCCAGTAGCATTTTGGCCATCTTCCGACCTGGGAGTCCCATCTGCCAATGGCATACCGACATATCTCTGGTTGTACTGGTCCATTTAGTTTTCTTGGCAAGGATACTGGAGTGGTTTGCCATTGCCTTCCCCAGGGATCACGCTTGGTCTGACCTCTCTGCCACAACCGTCCCGTCTTGGGTGGCCCTTCACGGTTTCGCTCATGACATCATTGAGGTGCTCAAGCTCCAGCGCCCCGGCAAGGCGGTGATCCTTTGCTGGAGCAGAGTAGATTACAGTATATATAAACAGACACAGGTAAACATTCAGTGCCTTGTTACATGGCATACAATGAGAGACAAATACACAGACAAAGGCAAAGGCTTCTCCTTTCATTTCTGGTTCTGGAGGCAGGGCTTGTCTGACTCATCTCCATTTATGTTGTTTTGCTAATTTTATGCTATGCTGTTTACTTTAATGTTTTGGTGATGTTCCTTGGAAACTGCCCTGAGTCCCTCTCAGGGAGATAGAGCAGTATATAAACAAGATTTTATATTATTATAATATTATTATTATTATTATTATTATTATTATTATTTCTGAGGAGTCATCATTGTCCATAGACACCTCCCGGTCGTCTGACCGGCATGACTGCTTGGAGAACCTTTTTGCCTTCCTGCCAAGGCAGTACCTATTGATCTACTCACATTTGCACGTTTTCTAACTGCTAGGTTGGCAGGAGCTAGGGCTCACGGCGGCAGCTCCCCTATCCTGTGGATTCGAACTGCCGACCTTCAGGTCAGCAGTGCAGCAACACAAGGGTTTGACCCATTGCAGCAGCGTATTTATTTATTTATTATTTATTTAAAAGTTTTGTATGCCGGCCTTCTCACCTCTCTTGAGGGACTCAGACCGGTTTCCAACTATAATATCACATACAATCCATAAAACATCATAATACATATTACAGTAAAACATTAAAACATCAATTACAATCAATAACTATAATGGTCAGTCATCGCACTAGAATCGTTGCTCCTCATCCTCCATCCATATCTCAGGGTGTTGGCTCACTCGTCGAATGCCTGTCTCCATAGCCACGTCTTCACCTGCTTCCTAAATGTCGGGATAGACGGGGCGCTTCTGATCTCCAGTGGAAGAGAGTTCCAGAGTCGAGGGGCCACCACCGAGAAGGCCCTGTCCCTTGTCCCCACCAGACGCGCTTGCGAGGCCGGTGGGACTGAGAGCAGGGCCTCTCCAGACGATCTTAATCATCTTGATGGTTCATAGGGGAGAATACCTTCGGAGAGGTAAACCGGGCTGGAGTCGTTTAGGGCTTTATAGGTCAACACCAGCACTTTATATATTGTGTGTATACAAAGTATACACATGATATATAAACTTTACCGCTTCTTCAGTTCTTGTGGGTTTTTTTGGGCTATATGGCCATGTTCTAGAGGCATTCTCTCCTGACGTTTTGCCTGCATCTATGGCAAGCATCCTCAGAGGTAGTGAGGTCTCAAGGATGCTTGCCATAGATGCAGGCGAAACGTCAGGAGAAATGCCTTTAGAACATGGCCATATAGCCCGAAAAAAACCACAAGAACTGAAAGCCTTCGACAATACATTTACTGCTTCTTCTTCCTCACGACTCGCAGCAGCAATTTCCCAACACACTCTCCAAAGCATCCTCACCAGACAACCTATATGCTACTCCCAGTATAAACCACAAATCCCATATTCCCTGCCAAGGACACCGTTCCCATATTGTTGTCTCTATAGCGAGTGCTTTCCCTCTTTTTTGGAAGGGAAAAGGGATGCTGTTGGGGTGGGAAGAGAAGGGGCTTGAGTTTATGGTTTTGCAAAACCGTTCCCTAGGAAATGGCTGAGGAACGATGTCCAGGAGGGTCTGCTCATTAGTAGTCCCGCTTGCATGTCTTCCTTTCCTTTTGATTCCACTCCAATTTGGGGCCCTTTGTTTGGGCCCTTTGTGGGAAGGCTGGCAGGAGCAGGCACATATGGCTGAAGCAAGAACGAGCGCACCCCTTGGCCCCTTTTGCATCAGAAAAACAAAACCCCAAACTCTTCTGCCTGGTAGCCTGGCCCTCGTTCTGGCGAAACCATCTTTCCAACGCTCAGCAGCTTATGATTCTGTAAAACATCACCTCCTCCTGAAAAAAAATATATATATTACCACCTCACCCGCCTCATAGGAAATCTGCTACCAAACAGGAGCTTTTTTGTTGAGTTCCAGGGTCAGAGAAGCAGATGGCGGAAACAGAGGAACGCCCTGCCTCAGGGGAGTGTGCTTGCTCCATCCATGTTCAACATCTACACAAATGAGCAGCCACTGCCGGAAGGGACAGAGAGCTTCATCTATGCTGACGATTGTGCCATCACTGCCCAAGTAGGGATCTTTGAAATGGGAGTGTGCTTGCTCCATCCATGTTGAACATTTACACAAATGATCAGCCGGTGACAGAAGGGATAGAGAGTTTAATCTATGCTGACGATCATGCCATCACTGCTCAAGCAGGGAGCTTAGAAATGGGAGTATGTTTGCTCCATCCATGTTTAACATTTACACGAATGATGAGCCAGTCCCAGAAGGGACAGAGAGTTTCATCTATGCTGACGATCGTGCCATCACCGCTCAGTCAGATAGCTTTGAAATGGGAGTGTGCTTGCTCCATCCATGCTGAACCTTTACACAAATAATCAGCCAGTGACAGAAGGGATAGAGTTTGATCTATGCTGACGATCATGCCATCACTGCTCAAGCAGGGAGCTTTGAAATGGGAGTGTGCTTTCTCCATCCGTGTTGAACATTTACACAAATGATCAGCCAGTGACAGAAGGGATAGAGTTTCATCTATACTGATGATCATACCATCACTGCTCAAGCAGGGAGCTTTGAAATGGTTTCAAAGCTCCCTGCTTTGAAACATGGTCCATCCATGTTTAACATTTACACAAATGATCAGCCGGTGCCAGAAGGGATAGAGAGTGTAATCTATGCTGACGATTGTGCAATCACCGCCCAAGTAGGGAGCTCAGAAATGGGAGTGTGCTTCATCCATGTTTAAACATGGTCCATCCATGTTTAACATTTACACAAATGATCAGCCAGTGCCAGAAGGGACAGAGAGCTTCATCTATGCCGATGATCATGCCATCACCATTCAAGAAGGGAGCTTTGAAATGGGAGTGTGCTTGGTCCAGCCATGTTGAACATTTACACAAATGATCAGCCAGTGCCAGAAGGGACAGAGAGTTTGATCTACGCTGACGATCATGCCATCACCACTCAAGAAGGGTGCTTTGAAATGGGAGTGTGCTTGGTCCAGCCATGTTGAACATTTACACAAATGATCAGCCAGTGACAGAAGGGATAGAGAGTTTCATCTATGCCGACGATCATGCCATCACCGCTCAATCAGGGAGCTTTGAAATGGTTGAACAGAAGCTCTCTGAAGCTTTAGGTGCTCTTACTATCTATTACAGGGAAAGCCAGCTTACTCCATCCATGTTTAACATTTGCACAAACGATCAGCCAGTGCCAGAAGAGATAGAGAGTTTCATCTATGCTGACGATCATGCCATCACCACCCAAGCAGGGAGCTTTGAGATGGTTGAACAGAAGCTCTCTGAAGCTTTAGGTGCTCTGACTGCCTTTTACAGGGAAAGCCAGCTTACTCCATCCATGTTTAACATTTGCACAAATGACCAACCACTGCCAGAAGGGACAGAGAGTTTCATCTATGCTGACGATCATGCCATCACCGCTCAATCAGGGAGCTTTGAAATGGTTGAACAGAAGCTCTCTGAAGCTTTAGGTGCTCTTACTACCTATTACAGGGAAAGCCAGCTTGCACCATCAATGTTTAACATTTGCACAAATGACCAGCCACTGCCAGAAGGGACAGAGAGTTTCATCTATGCTGACGATCGTGCCATCACCACCCAAGCAGGAACTTTGAAAGGGTTGAACAGAAGCTCTCCAAAGCTTCTCTTGTCTAACCTATGAGGCACATGCCGTTCCACTCAGGGATCTTTCTTTGCCACCAGGATACGTGGGGGACCACTGTGAGGAAGATGAGGATGAGTGTGCCCAGGAGCCCTGCCTGAACGGCGGCCAATGCTTTGAGCGGTCCAACCAGAGCTATTACGGAGAACGCGAGGGCTTCCCTGCGGAGTTCAGTTACCAGGAGGCTGCTGGGTTCATCTGTGGGTGCCAGCCTGGCTTTGAAGGTAAGATGCTTCCAAACAATACACATAATAATAATAATAATAATAATAATACTGAACCCCGGGCACTAACTTCTAAATCAAATTAAGCATATCTTTGTAATGAAGCAAGGAACGAGCTCAAGGTCTGACATGCTTGTTTTCTGATGCTTGGAAGGAGAGATCTGCTCCGTCAACGTGGACGAATGCACATCCCAACCCTGCCAGAATGGAGGAAGCTGTGTGGATCTGGTGAATAGCTACGAGTGTCACTGCCTCCCAGGATACTCCGGTAAGTAAGACGCAGCACGGATTACCTATTTTTATGGCGGAATAGGTTTATGGTGCCACGTTCTGGGAATTTCCTAGAGTAATCAGCCTTGTGTTGTTGAAGGCTTTGATGGCCAGAATCACTGGGTTGTTGTATGTCTTCCGGGCTGCCTGGCCCTGTTCCAGAAGCATTCTCTCCTGACATTTCGCCTGCATCTGTGGCAGGCATCCTCAGAGGTTGTGAACATTCTGGGAATTTCCTAGAGTATCGGCCTGGGTTGTTGTGTGTCTTCTGGGCTGTATGGCCTTGTTCCAGAAGCATTCTCTCCTGACGTTTCACCTGCATCTGTGGCAGGCATCCTCAGAGGTTGTGAACATTCTGGGAATTTCCTAGAGTATCGGCCTTGTGTTGTCGAAGGCTTTCATGGCCGGAATAACTGGGTTGTTGTGCGTTTTCCAGGCTGCCTGGCCCTGTTCCAGAAGCATTCTCTCCTGATGTTTCACCTGCATCTGTGGCAGGCATCCTCAGAAGTTGTGAGGTCTGTTGAAAACTAGGAAAATTGGGTTGTATATCTGTGGAATGATGTCCAGGGTGGGAGAAAAAACTCTTATCTGCTTGAGGTAGGTGTGAATGTTAGCACTAAATGGCCTTGCAGCTTCAAAGCCTGCCTGTTTCCTGCCTGGGGGAATCCTTAGAGGTTGTGAGGTCTGTTGGAAACTAGGAAAATGGGGTTTATATATCTGTGGAATTACATCCAGGGTGGGAGAAAGAACTCTTGTCTGTTTGAGGTGGGTCTGAATGTAGCAATTGGCCACCTTGATTAGCATTCAATGGCCTAGCAGTTTTCAAGGTCTGGCTGCTTCCTGCCTGGGGGAATCCTTTGCTCGGAAGTGATTAGGTGATTAAATGAACAAAATCTGGATCCCAGTATTTAAAAAACTCTCAAATCATAACAGTAAAGAAACAGCAACTCTCAAAAACAGGGGAATTCCAGACGAGAAACAAAACAGGGCCAACAAAGGATTCCCCAGGCGGTAAGAAGCCAGAAGAATAGGTTTATATATCTGTGGAATTACATCCAGGGTGGGAGAAAGAACTCCTGTCTGTTTGAGGTAGATGTGAATGTAGCAATTGGCCACATTGATTAGCATTCAATGGCCTAGCAGTTTGCAAGGTCTGGATGCTTCCTGCCTGGGAGAATCCTTTGTTCGGAAGTGATTAGGTGATTAAATGAACAAAATCTGGCTCCCAGTATTTAAAAAACTCAAATCATAACAGTAAAGAAATAGCAACTCTCAAAAACAGGGGAATTCCAGACAAGAAACAAATCAGGGCCAACAAAGGATTCCCCCAGGTGGTAAGAAGCCAGACCTAAGTAAGAAGCACAAATCAGTCTTGATTTAAGTGGATGGATTTCATGCTTGCTGGTGTAAGACTCATGCAGATGTTCCTGCAAATTGCTGCCTTGACCTGTGGAGCAAATACAGTGTTGTCTCTAGTGTGCAGGTGCAAACTATATGAAGCTAGCTGCATGTTGTGCAGAAATTCAACACAATGCCTGTGCTTTGAGGTGTTCTTTCAATCTCATCATGCGCTCAAACTTTTCTTCCCTCTCCCTTCATCCTTGTTGCCTCGGTCCAAGTTTTTCTTTGGTTGCTTTTGCAAGAAAAGCTTCTGCCATTCTCTGTGCTAATGAATCTTCACTTGTTGTGGCTGCAACTTTTCTATTGGCTAACCAATATTTGAGGCATGCGCTGCAATGTGGGAATTGTGGTGCCGTTAGTTGCACAAATAGTGTTGCGAGGCTGCCATCTTGTGGACAGGAGAAACATCCCAAAGTCAGGTGTCTTCCGCACTACAGACATACCGCAATTTGATGCCATTGCAACGTCCAAGGCTCCTGGGATCTGCAGTTTGGCAAGATATTGTAAATTTTCTGCCCTAGAGCCCTAGCATCTGGCTAAACTCCCGATCCCAATGTTCCCTCGGTTGCAGTCGTGGCAGCGATGTGGGTTTCCAGAACAAGCAGAACTAGAAAATGCCCCATGCTCTATGTATATTTTATTTATTTCGTATCCAAAGCATTGAAGGAGTGCAGGTGGCTAAATATCTTTTGACCAAAAACGGGCAACAGCAACGGCATTGTCTGTAGCCTCCAACAACTCTTCCTCTGTACATGAGGCAGGGCATTGCGGACAAGCATAGAGATGCGGAGTTGTCTGTTCTCTCTATGTATATGCATTCTCTTATTGGTCATGTCTCAACGGTTTAGCTGTCTTAATAATGGTTGTGCCTCGAGCTTCATTCCTTCGTCCTGTTCTTTTCAGCAAGCAGCTGAAGGTTGTATTTCTCTGGGCATGCGTTGTCATTGTGTGTTGCATTTGCACAATGCCTTCCCTGCCATTTGCACTGTCTTGGCTCTGTTGGGTCAACCTCGAGCCGTGAGGAGAGGCGGGTAACTGTTGTTGTTGTTGTTGTTATTACTATTAGCTTGGGTACCCAGTGCTCTCTGGATGGAGGCGAACTACAACTCCCCCAAATCAAGGTGAATTTTCCCCAAAGACCTCCAGTATGGGAGCTCTGTGTGCCAAGTTTGGTCCAATTCCATCTTTGGTGGAGTTCAGAGTGCTCATTGATTGCAGGTGAACTATAAATCCCAGTACCTACAACTCCTAAATGTCCAGGCCAATTCCACTCAAAACCCGTCAGTATTCAAATGTGGGCATATCGGGTCTGCATGCCAAGTTTGGTCCAGATCCATCGTTGTTTGGGTTCATAGTGTGCCCTGGATGTAGGTGAACTACAACTCCTATAATCCCTTCAAAGACCTCCAGTATTTTAGTTGGTCATGTGGGTTCCGTGTGCCATGTTAGTTCCAGGTCCATTGTTGGTTGACTTCAGAGTGCAGCTCTTAGATGTGAATTATACATCCCAGGACCTACAACTCCTATACATCATGGCGAATTCACCCCCAACCTCTCTAATCTGTTCCGTTGCTGATCAATTCCTTTGTCTGCTGTATGCCATAGTAAAGTATAGGAAAGGGTTATGGGAAAGGCAGTGGGTGGGAGTCATGCAAATTCCACACCAAGGGAGAGAGTAAGGAACACTGGGATGTCTGTGGTGGAGGAAACACATAAAATCTAGGATGAAATTGCCTTCCCTTGGGTGGTGGGCAGTGTGGTGTTGGTGAAAGACATTGGCAGGGCTCTTGGACATGTTCATGGCGCTCACTATAACCTTCAATGTCATTGGAAGGAGGGCCATGGGTGTCTCCTGCATAATGGGAGCTATAGCTGTTTGTGGATGTGGGAGTCTGTCTGTGTAAGTCAGCGTTTCTCAATCTGGGGGTCGGGACCCCTGAGGGGGTTCGTGAAGGGGTGCCAGAGGGGTCACCAAAGACCATCAGAAAACAAAGTATTTTCATGAGGGTTCTAGGTGGAAATTTGGCCCAATTCTATCGTTGGTGGGGTTCAGAATGCTCTTTGATTGTAGGTGAACTATAAATCCCAGCAACTACAACTCCCAAATGTCAAGATTCTATTTTCCCCAAACTCCACAGTGTTCACATTTGGGCATATTGAGTATTCTTGTAGAGTTTGGTCCAGATCCATCATTGTTTGAGTCCACAGTGATCTCTGGATGTAGGTGAACTACAACTCCAAAACTCAAGGTCAATGCCCACTAAACCCTTCCAGTATTTTCTGTTGGTCATGGGAGTTCTGTGTGCCAAGTTTGGCCCAATTCTATCATTGGTGGAGTTCAGAATGCTCTTTGATTGTAGGTGAACTATAAATCCCAGCAACTACAACTCCCAAATGTCAAGATTCTATTTTCCCCAAACTCCACCACTGTTCACATTTGGGCATATTGAGTCTTCGTGTAGAGTTTGGTCCAGATCCATCCTTGTTGGAGTCCACAGTGCTCTCTGGATGTAGGTGAACTACAACTCCAAAACCAAAGGACACTGCCCGCCAAACCGTTCCAGTATTTTCTGTTGGTCATGGGAGAACTGTGTGCCAAGTTTGGTTCAATTCCATCGCTGGTGGGGTTCAGGATGCTCTTTGATTGTAGATGAATTACAAATCCCAGCAACTACAACTCCCAAATGACAAAATCAATTTTTTTTTAGTGAAGGACATACATTGGGTTCTTAGGTGACTTGTGTTCAAATTTGGTGTCAATTCGTCCAGTGGTTTTTGAGTTCTGTTAACCCCACAAACGAACATGACATTTTAATTTATATAGATGATGATGATGATGATGATGATGATGATGATGATTGGCATCCCATGTACTTTGTGCGATTCAGTATTGAGACCGATCAACACACCTATGCTGATTGGAGGAAGTAAGTAATGTAGGATCTTGGCCTTGCGTAATTCTACTTGCCATAGATTGAGATGCATTTATGAAATGGAAAAAAGCTTAGTGGCGTGTTCATTAGCAGGGTGACTCATTTGATTCATGGATCACTTGGCTTATCCAGATTTTGTGGATCGGTTCCCCTTGGAATCAACAATAGGATTCAGACCATGTGATTCAGGGGAGTCTGAAATGGGACGAGGGGCCAAACAAAGACTCGTTGAGTTCCCATTATGTGTAGCAGAGACCTTCACTATCCTATCCCACTGGAGCATTGCAGCGCACCCAAAGACCTGGGAGTGACCCTGGTCCGCGCTCTGACCTACAAGAAGCACTGCCTGAACATCAAGCAAAAAGTGGGTGCCAGAAACAATATCATACGAAATCTGATTGGCACAACCTGGGGATCACAACCAGACACAGTGAAGACATCTGCCCTTGTGCTATGTTACTCTGCTGCTGAGTATGCATGCCCAGTGTGGAATACATCTCCCACGCTAAAACAGTGGATGTGGCTCTTCATGAGACATGCCGCATTATCACGGGGTGTCTGCGCCCTACACCACTGGAGAAACTACACTGTTTAGCCAGTATTGCACCACCTGACATCCGCCGGGAAGTAGCAGGCAATAGTGAGAGGACCAAGGCAGAGACAT